GAGAGAGAGAGAGAGAGAGAGAGAGAGAGAGAGAGAGAGAGAGAGAGAAAGAAAGAAAGAAAGAGAGGCAGAGAATGAAAAAAAGTTTTATCTAACACAAACCTACTGTATGCATGCTGATATCATACACAAAGATTACAAAAGTTTCGCAGAGGGTGTGAGACTGCATCTTTTGGAGCAATTCATACTTCCATTGCATACTTGGAAATGATGCTGGCGAATCCTGCTGCTCTGGTACCCGAGGTTGGCACAGGGCTTGCGTGGGATGACTGGCTGCGCAGTGTCAATATCGCCATATCCTACCCAAAAAAAAAGAAAATACAGATTCAAGCAAATTCAAGTTGTCTGCCTTGTGATTGGTGTTTGTCCAAAGGAGTTTGCCTTGTTAAATCACCAGTACTTGGCCCAGCTATTGGCCGCGGGAAGAAATAGAATAGAAACATTTCTAGTCGGATGAATTTAGGTGCTCCTGTAGTATCCCATACATTTCCTAAAATCATGGCGTGTTAACGGGCACGACTCTAGGAAGTACTGATGGTTTAATCATTACATTTCTACCTCCCTGCAAGGCTAAAATTGTTACTGGCACTGGTCAGAAGAAGATTGTCTTTGTAGCGAGGAATCAGGTAGAAGCGAGCTTGGGAGCTGAGCATGAATGGTGGGAAGCATAAAATTATTATAGATTCATATAGATTTTAAGACATTAAAATCATACTCATTACCATTATGATCATCAGCAGCACAGGACGATTTGCCATAAAAAAAGGAGAGCTCATCATCATCATCATCATAATCATCATCGCCATCACCATCTTATAGTATTGCTAGCACTATTTGAGTAGGATCATTTGAGTTTCATGACGGACACATCGATTGAATGCTTTTACTCGCCGGCACAACGATGTAAAGGGGCACTAAGTTGTTATTACTATATATATATTTTTTAAAGGACAAAAAAGAACCTCTACCGCCATCAAGGTATACTCACACAGGAGACCTGTTGGTCCACAACAACTTTGTGCTACCAGTCTTCCCCTTACTGTCATAATAGCTATTATGCCATTGACAGCAGTGTCGTACCCCCATTCACCTTTCACGGCCCCGGTGAACTCGGGCCGGTCACCGGTCACGAAAAGCGTGACCAGTGGGAGTTCACGGAGTTCACGCAGAGCGGGAACTCCGTGTTTTGTTATTTTTTTTGGCTGGTAGCCTTGTGGTAGGTTTTTTTTGGCACAGGTATGTGGTTTGTGTCAACAGGCATCTGGCCATATATATATATATATATATATATATATATGGTCACAAACAGAACTGCCCGGTAAACCGTAGGCAGAGAGAGAGAAGAGGACAACAAACGAGGGGCTGTGACAAACTGTTTCGTCGGAGTTTCACCGACTCATCAGGAGGCTGAACCCTCAACAGTCTCCA